GAGGCTGGCGGGAGGCTCCGTGCGGAGATGCGCGGGGCCCGGCGGCACAGACCGAAGGGCTGGCCCGGGGGTCGCGGGATGCCTCCTGCCTTCTCGCGCAGCCGGGTGATTTCACTTTGATCACAGGATCTGCCTCGGGTTGGGATGTCATCTTATAAATCTTTATGTGACAGAGGTTCGTGTTCCTTGTGGCCAAGAAGCGCCCGTCTCACCTCCTACAGGAAGGCCGCCGGGACTACACCTCTGTCATCCTCCGCTTTTTGACCCTTTCAGTGACAACTGCTTAGTTTGCAGTGTTTTTAACGTCCCTTTTTTTTAAAAAAAGTGTTGTTATTAAGAAAAAAGTGGGCAGAGGGAACGTCACGAAGGCATTTCCACTGCGTGTGCATTCTGTCTGCTTAATTGGGTTTGAAGACCTAAAGGTATTTGCCTTCCGCCCCCCCCCCCACTTCTTTTTCTTCCCTTCTCTTTTCTTTTTTCTTCCCTTCTCTTCCTTTGCCTTGCAAGTGCCTCGCATTTGCTCTTGGAACAAAGTTCTGTTTGCTGACGGACTGACCAGCTTACTGACACAAAGGTGGGCAGCAAACAGAGGGACAGGTCAAGGCCCTTCCTTGACACGTGGAGGACGCTGCGGCGAGTCCTCTGGACGCCAGGCGAAGCCATTCCCTGGCCCCCCCAGGCCGCCGGGCGCGCTTCCGTTCCTTCCCCTCGTCCAGCCCCAACCCCAACCCCAATAACACCCGCACCCCACACGCAGTCGCTGCGCTTTCTCGCTTTGCCCGGGGATCGTGGGTCGTGCCCTCCGACGCGAGGCGGGATCTCACGGGACCGTAAGACCCCACAGAGTCTGCCTGCAAAATACACCCCGAAGCCGTGCCAGCGTTCGCCTGAGGCTCCCCCACTGTGCGTCGCTAATTAGGGCCCCCGGCCGCCCCTCCGCCGCGGCCGGCGGCGCAGCCCTCCTGGAAACGGCCGCGGCGTCTCCGTTGCAGGCTCCGGATCCGGGAGGTGGCGGATCCGCCCTCCATCTATTGGATGGCTCCCAGGCCAATTGTTAGAAAGAGGCATATGTTCATCTCGGCTTCTGGAGTGTCTCCCGAGCAGTTGCTCAACAGCCAGCCCCTCCCCCATCCGGACCCCTGAAGGGCAGAAAAAAGAGCGCCCTCCGCCACATTTCTGTACCCGCACGCCAGAAAGGGTCTCCCCGCCGGTGACTTCCTGCCCTCTCCACTGTCCACCTCCTGGGGTGCAGGAAAGAGAGGGGCTCGGAGCACTCAGCTTCGGAGCACAAAAGCCACCCTTCTTTGGGGGGCGATGGAAGAGGAGGTTAGTTGCAGAGGCAGGGAGCGAGCAAGGCAGACCCTTGCACGTCTGTGCAAACACGCCTGGACCTCCGGCTCCCCAGGCGGCGGCAGCCGAGCTCAGAGCTCTCCGCCGAACTCTCCTTCCAACTTGGCGGCTGGACTGCGAGCTCGCCTGGCAAGTAGAGGACAGGGATGGTCACCGGCGAGAGCCTCTGTGCGCCAGCGTCGGGCCTGGCCTGTTCCCATCCAGCGTCTCATTTCATTCCCACGACAGCCCTGCGAGGCAGGGTTTGCCGAAGGTGAAACGGAGTCCCAGAGATTTGTCCGAGTTCACGCAGCCGGGAGGCGAGTGTTTGAATCCGGTCAGGCCGACCGCAGAGTCCTTACCCTCACCCCCAACCCCGCTGCCGGAGTGGCCGTCACGAGGCGGCTCGGCTGTGACCAGAGTACAGGTTCGGGGCTCGGCCCGCCTGGGTTTCAGTGCCTACTGTGCCCTTCACTAGCTGTGGGACCGTAGGCCAAGTGGCTTCGCTCCTTGGGCCTCGGGTTTTCCCATCTGTAAAATGGGGGGATAGTAACGGTAGTGACTCTGTGCGGTTGTTGCCACGCTGGAAAAGCTTAGCCTCCTTGGCGCCCGCTGTGTGCTAAGTGGTCAAAAACGCTGTTATTGTCCCTTCTGACTCTTCTCCTTTTGCCTTCCAGCCTGGCCTCAGCTCACACACTTCAGGCTCAATAATGTTTGCTGACTGATTAATTTAAAAAGCGGACTGAGAGGGCATGAAGGAGGTCTATACACTCAGGAAGGGGAGGGAGACAAAAATGTAGATCTGCTCTCAAATTCCCACCCTCCAGAACCAAGGGCTGTCAGAGCCACGGGACAGGAGTAAATCAGGGACCAGTATGAGATGATTGCTTTTTACAGGACAGTTGTAAACACCCAGAGTGGTCTCCAGCCACGTATACTGCACACGTGGATCGAAAAGTTCAAAAGCACAGATCTCTGTTCAAGAAAGTTTGGAGAATTGTTTATAATAGCGAAAAACAGAAAGCGTTTTTCACTACATGTCCACAGTAAGGAAGTGTCCCTTGGGACCTTGATGCATTTAAAAAAACCCCTAATTCCTAAAACTCTTATTTATGGGAAAATGTTCACTACAAAATATTCAATTAAAAAAAAAACCTCTGGGTACACAGTTGAATATCTATATGATGCCAAGTTACAAAGTGCACAGAGTAAAATATTAAATACTATGTTTCCAAACTCGTATGAACGTGGATAATGAATCAACGGTCAGGAAAACACCAAGCCAACT